GGGACTTTTAAGCTAGGGATCCCATACGTAGGTGGTAGCTAATGGGTTCTTGGTGAAATCGGGCATTAAACGCTTGAATATTATTAGTTCCTATCATTGTTCTTTCTTCTAGTACTAAACAGGCGAAAAAATAATATTTCACCATCATCTATAACCAACAAAGCTTTTCGATCTTTATTTTTGTCAGTGGGCCACATCCAAGCACATTTTATTTTCATTTTTAAACTCTTTGCAGCGAACTCTAACGATCCATCGCATTAAAATGCATATCGAACAGTTTGAAAGTGCAATCAAATCAGTGCTAATTGATTGGCGAAAGAGATTAAAAGTTAGCAGAGACTTTGTACTTTACTTGAAACTTCGTTATATGCCATTGACTATTTAAATTTAACCGTATTATTGAAAAAGATGCTAATTTTATTGAATTTTAGGACGACTTTTTCTTTAGTTAGGTTATTTTAGAGGTAATGAAAGCTATACAGATATATTTTTTTACTATTGTAAGATATCTCAGGAAAAGCCAGCCTTATATTTCAAAACTTGTATATTTTAACTAGATTTATTTACAACTTATTAAAAAACACATATTCTCAACAATTCTTTATTTCTCTTGCTCCAGTTAAAAATCATGGATCGTTTCCACCAATGTCAGCTCCTCGCCAACCAATCACGTTTTTTGTGTTTTTTTTTATTCTTTCTATTATTATTTTTTTCGGCCTGACCATTCTCGTCATTTTTAACTGCCTGAGCAATAAAGATATTATAATTTGTGCGTTAGCGTGGTCAGTGCTGCCAGTATAGTCAATTAATAACTGTTTATTAACGTATTAGAATTATTACCGTTTTTGACTAACTTCATAAACAGTTTTTGGGTATATCCTTTAAAGTAAATAAACTAAGCCTCAAAACTAATCCCCAACTTTTCAAAGAAAATCGAATTTGAAATCGGTATAAAAATAGGAAAATAAAGCAAATATCTTTCAATTTCCTAAAGCTGCTTACACAACTTAAGTGTTGTAATAACTCAACGTGTAAAAAGCCTTGACCTCCAAATGTTCTCATTAGTCGAACATGTCCCTACAGAATCCTACATCCGCCACTCACAACATCCGCTCAGATCAATAACGATGTACAGTTGACAGCAATAACATAAATCTAAAGTAACATGTATCCTTTAAATAAAAAAAATTGAAATTTTGTCGATGTTTGATATTTAGGTTTATTTACCGATTAAGCAAAAGGATACCTCCATGTTTTGTCGTCGTTTAATTTGATTGTTTGTTTGTTTTTTGTATCTATACATATTACGTATGGTACGTGAGTAATAGTCAACTTCTTTGCTAGGAGCCGATTGCTAATTTTTGATTGCCGATTGTAGAGTTGAGTGTCGCTGGCTATTCTCTTTAACAATAAGATATTCTTCAAAGGCGGTATTTTATAAAATTTAAAAATAAAATCCTACCCTTAATATTCGAACAAATACTTTTAAAATAATTTTGATAGTAATACATAAATATAAATAAAAATCTTTTCGAATTATTTTGCCGATTTTTACAGCAATCATGGTCAGGAGAACCAGGGTCTCCAGTCAGTTTTATTTAAAATTTCAAATATTTGCGCTAATATATGAGTATTATACATATAACTAAGTTGTGAATCCTCCGGGCGTATTAAACAATCGTTCAAGTTCAAAACATTATATTCAACATTAAATTATTACATTTACTGAACGTCATGAGTCTACTACCAATATTACTTTCATAGGTTTACGTAAATTTTTGACATTTTAAATAAATAAAAATAAAACTATCTTTTCGGATTATTTCGCGGATTTATTTTGATTTTTGGTTCCCGACGTTTCGAATGCTTTACAACAATCATGGTCACGGGAGAGACTGAACGTCGGTTAACAAAAATCAAAACAAATCCGCGAAAAACTCTGAAAAGATAGTTTTATTTAAAAAGTTCGTTTTCCAACCAGTTCCGAAAGCCTCAGTCCTGAGAAAAACTGGCGAAAGGGTACTCACATTGGTTGTCCTAACTATGAATATAAGGAAATATATTTTTTTTACATCAATGAGATTGATAGTGTAAAAAAATCGATAATTTTAGCGATAATCGAACCCATATATTTCTTCCTAAAAAAAATTTCACTTGTTCTTAGAAGCTGCATTCCAATGAAGGATTTACCTCTTAAAATAGTTTCATTTATCAGCACATCCCCAAAGATTTGCTTCGACAGCACCCAATCTACACTTGATTGCTTTACGATTAGACGTTCCAACTGTGGATAAGGAATACGTCACTTAACTCGATATAAGGAACTCGGCCCCCAGATCTAGTTCAATTAATATCGGTAATGAACATATTACTGAACTATAAAGATATATACTTATGTATATAATATTATATATATATATATATATTCATAAATAAATTAATATAAATATGTTGGGACATTAAATACATACATATTATAAACAACCATGACTGGAGTAAAAACATTCGTGCTCATCACACAAATAAATGTTCCCAGCTGGACTCGAACCCACGACCGCTGGCACAGCGAGTAAGGCCACTAAAAACTGAGCGAGAAATATTTTTGTGTATCGATTTAAAAAAAATCTTATCTTTTTATTATCAATTATATTCTTAAAGTAAAGAAAAAAATTAACTATATTCTTGAGTTGATGTTGATGAATGTTTTATAATGAGTAAGTTTTATCGATACTTCATTTTTACATATACGTATTAAGCTTTATTTCAAAAAAGTTTGTATTCAGCCCTTTTAACGTCCCACTGCTGGGTACGGGCCTCCCTTCATACGAAGGGGATCAGGCCATAGTCCACCACGCTGGCCAAGTGCGGATTGGCGGACTTCACATGTCTTTCGAAAACTTACAAGGTTTTTCTCAGACATGCAGGTTTCCTCACGATGTTTTCCTTCACCGTAAGGCAAGTGGTAATCATGTTAGAAATGATTCGCACATGAAAATATCAGAGGTGCGAGACCCGGGATTTGAACCCGCTTCACTCGGTTTCCCAAGCGAGCGCGTTACCACTGGGCTACCACTGCCTATATCCAGGAAGGTACTCACTTATAAAAGATCCATTGAAATCAACCAAACCGTTTTTCTCTATTATCAATTCTGCGAAACCCCTTTCTTAGAAGAAAACAACACTACAATAATTATTCTCTGAATTAATATAATGAAAGCACTTGATTAAATAACAATTGAATTACCGCTAGAAGTAATTTTGTTTGTTTTGTCCATACAAAAAGGGTCAAATACTAAATGATAGATGCAAGGTTTTCTTTTATTGAAACAAGTGTTTATCTATATCTATCTATACATATAATAAAACTGTAGAGGTCGAATGTCTGTACATAGTAAAATTGCTAAAAACCGAGTTAGGGGGATGTAAGAAGAGAAATAGAACAAATCGAGATTTTTTTTAAGTTTTTGTTATTGTCTGTTTGTCAGTTTGTACTAAGCCAAATCTGTACATTAAATATTTTTTTGAAAACTTATTGAAATAGACATTATTATCGATACAGAGACCGAATCTATAGTTTTTAGAATTTTTCTGTCTGTCTGTGACCGCATTATGGAAACACCACTGGGGGGGATTTCTATTAAATTTGGTATAATGATAGCAATCCAGGTAGACATATAGGATATCTCATATCTGAGAAATCTATATCTACTAACGTACATAGAATATCATATAAAACGTAAGTAGGGTAGGGTGAGTCGCTAGTTTACTTATATAAATATACATTCACATGCTAATTATTTCAACGGTCAACCACAACAAGTTCCCAAACCACCAAACTAACATTAGCACTTAGCTTATTACTGTATTCACTTCTCAACAATGGTGGTCTACAAACAAATCAAAGATTAAACTCCAATTAAAGCCCCAGTCGACCTCGCACTATTGGCAATCTACCCCGCGACAAACCGACCCTTTATAAATCAAGCTTCACTACTAAGCCCGCGACGGTCGCGTCGACAAATAATGCCCCATGATAGAGTAAAGTAGAAGTGTTAGCTCGGACATTCATGACCGGATTACTTGGACAAACGTTACTAGCTCAATGTGCTGGCGATTTATGATTTGGTCATTCAATTGATATATTTTTATTGACAATCCCATTGTTATGTTATATGTGATCTATACATATAATTGTTAGAATCATATCATAATTTACACAAGATTATTGTTTAGTTATTCCATATGTATGATGTTTTAAAATATTCGTCAATTATAAATTCATTATTGTTTAAATTTATTATTATTTTAATTTAATGAGATTACACATAGAAACTTAGAATAATTTAATTAATATTTTCAAATATTGTACTAACGCGCGCACTACTTCCGGCTGACAACTTCCTTTATTTGTTTGTTCCGGTAAAAAGGGTTGGAGGGAGGTAGCGCGCGCGCAGTGGACAGTTGATTGTCGACTGTTGAGTTGAATAGACTAGATTTGTGAAATTTCATCAATATGTAAGTATAATAAATTGATTTAATTGTGGAAAAGTGTTTTAATTACTTGAGCTCTCAAAGCTCAGAAGTGGGATATAATCGTGATAGCGATTAATATCGTCCACGGTGAAAGGACTTGCCGCCCATGCAACTGTACCGATAATTTCTTTTGTTTTTTTTTTAGTGCAATCAGTTTAGAAGGAACTTAATTATTTTAAATATTGTATTGTAACAACTACTGGTGGTCCCAATATTAAAAAAAATATATTCTGACTAAGTTACATAAGTTTTATATATGAGTGTGTGTGTGTGTGTTTTTTTTTTGTTTTCTGTTTTCCTTAACGTCATTAGTGCCATATCCCTAGTTTATTTTGTCTGCTGCATTATGAACCTATATTATACATCATGAACTAAGATAATGCTCTAAAGGAATCAACCTTACCTAACCCTTTATAATAAGTCTAAGAATAGCTGCTTTTGTGATTTCTTATAATTTTCAGTAAACAATGGGCCGGAAAAGAAAGTCCACTCGACGTATGAGGGAGTCTGATGATTCAGAGCATAGTGAATCAGGTTCACTAGTGCGAAGAAGGCATAAGTCGCGACGACGCTATAACAAGTCGCAAACTCGTGATTCATCGAGTGGCTCTGATGTACCGCGACACTGTAGAGTATCAAAGAAGCGCCGTAAATCCAGGAGGTGTTCTGAAACGCCTCAAAGGCGTACTGTACCGCGGGGTCATAATGGTACCCCGGATCCTGGCACAACTCAAAGGCGTAATGTATCACGGGGCCGTGATGTTACTCGAGATCCTGGCACGCCTCCAAGGCGTGATGTATTGCGAAACCATGAAGAGTATCAAAATCCTGAGGAGCTGCAAAGTACACACCTTCTTCAAAATGAATATGCAGCGGGGACGTCACAGCCTGCTACTATACCAGCAGTAACACCAAACGTGAGTGCACCTCAAATTAATGTTAGTACTGACTTTAATGCTAACGTTTTAGCCTTGGCCTTCAAGGAGCTTATTCAGACCATGAAAACAGATGGGGGTAATGAACGTTATCCGGTTATGAATGTTATTCCAGAGTTTGACCCTTCCAAGCGCAATCAAACTATTGAAACTTGGTTATTAAAGGTTAATGAGTGTGCCGAAATTTACAATTGGACTGAGAGACAAATAATTCATTACGCTCTCCCAAAATTATCAGGTTTGGCACAAAAATGGTACCAAGGTCTACCTAGTTTACTGTTTTCATGGACGGAATGGCAGAATAAGTTGAAAATGGCGTTTCCAAGTGATGAAAATTATGGACAATTGCTAACAGATATGCTTGCCTGCAGGGCTAGATTTGGCGACTCGTTAGAAGAATATTTTTATCAAAAGATGGTATTGTTAAATCGTTGTAATATAGTTGGTAAAAATGCTATAGATTGCATTCTGTTTGGAATAGATGATAGATCAGTAAGAACTAGTGCAGAAGCAACACAATTCACAGAACCTGATAAACTATTAGTCTATTTAAGGAATGTACGATTAACTAGGAAGCCTGAGAAGCCAAGTCCATCCATGCAAGCAGGTAATAATGAGAATAAACAATCCCGATCGTTCAAGTCTAATCAGAATACGTCTGACGTTAAAAATAACAGATCTTATAGGCTCACTAAATGTTATAATTGTAAGGAAGAAGGACATCCATATTTTCTTTGTAAGAAACCAATCATACGCTGCGAGAGTTGCCATAGAATTGGTCATGTATCTAATAATTGTCCGGGAAAAACTGACTCCAAAGCCAACGAAAGCAATAGTAAAACAGTTTTACGTATTTCGAAACAACAAGATAACGAATCGAAATATTTCAAGTTGCCAAAGTTAATGGTCAAAATCTTGATTGCTACGTTGATTTTGGAAGCCAATGTACCATGTTAAGAGAATCTTTTGCAAGAAATTTTGTCAGTACTTGGTCAGTATCAGAATTACCAGTTATAAGAGGATTTGGAGATAGTATAGTGAATTGTTTAGGCAAATTTGTTGTTGAACTAGAGATAGATTCGGTCAAAGCTTCCGTAGAGGTACTTATCGTACCAGACCATCTATTACAAGTACCTTTGTTAGTTGGGCAAACATTTACGGAGCAGGAACACATAGTTGTTTATAAAAACAAAAATCAATTGAAAATATCCACTTACCCAACAACCAGTGTTCAATTGTATGTTAAAAATTCAGTAACGGTAAAAGGATTTACTGTCTTAGATGTTTATTCTAAACCAGATTACACAGGTGACTTATTTATTGAACCGAGTCTTTGCCAAGACCCCCAAAACCCGTACGAAATCTCACAGAGCATAATTCGCGTAACTAATAGTCATGGTAATATTGTTATAAAGGGACTTGACCCTGAGTTTGTTTTAACGAAAGATATGTTGTTGCTTCGAGCATTGCCTTTAACTGAATTGAAATTTGAGTCGCTAAATGTTAGTAAAATTGAACACTGCCCTGATAATAATAATATATTCAGAATCGAAGCAGAGGCTATACAAGTGGATAATTCAATTGGTCCTGATAACGTATTTAAATTGACTGAGTTATTGAACAATTTTAGGGATTGTTTTGCTTTCTCAAGTAAAGAATTAGGATGCATAACTGGTACCGAGATGAATATTAAACTTAATGACACCACACCTGTGGTTTATAGACCGTATCGATTGTCTCATTTAGAGCGTCACGTAGTTCGCGATATTATACAAGATTTAGAAAATTCGAATATAATTAGAGAATCATCTTCTGATTATGCTTCACCAATAGTTCTCGTACGTAAAAAGACTGGCGACTATCGCCTTTGTATTGACTTTAGAGCACTTAATAAAAAGACGATCAAAGAACACTACCCCCTACCACTTATAGAAGACCAATTAGATAGTCTCTCAGGTTATAGATATTATACTTCTTTGGATCTTGCTTCTGGATATTACCAGATCCCATTGGCTGAAACATCGAAACGTTATACAGCATTCGTAACGCCTGATGGGCATTATGAGTTCAACCGCATGCCGTTTGGACTCGTAAATGCTCCGTCCACATTTCAAAGGACTATTAATAGTATTTTGGGGAATGCAAGATTCAAAGAAGCATTTGCATACATGGATGATGTCATTGTACCTTCTAAAACTATAGACGAGGGATTACAGAAACTTCATGATATTTTAAATTTGTTTCGCTCTTCCGGTATAACTCTCAATCTGTCAAAATGTAATTTCTTGAAACAATCTATAGATTACTTAGGCTTTGAAGTCACTGAATCAGGTATTAAACCGGGAAAGAAAAAAATTGAAGCAGTGGATAAATTTCCTAGACCTACAGATCAACACAAAGTCAGACAGTTTTTGGGTCTAGCTAGTTTTTTCCGAAGATTTATTAAAGGGTTCTCAATTATTGCAAAACCATTGACGCAACTTCTTAAGAAAGATGCTAAATGGAAATGGGGTGACGTAGAAGAATTAGCATTTTTAACATTGAAAGACGAATTAGTCAAACGCCCTATTCTTTCTTTTTATAATCCTGAGTACGAAACCCAATTACATACAGACGCTTCTAAGATTGGAGTTGCCGGAATAATAATGCAAAGACCTAATAAAGAATCCCCATTCAGCGCTGTAGCATTTTATAGTAGACAAACTTCCCCCGAAGAATCCAAACTTACCTCCTATGATTTGGAAACGTTGGCTGTCGTGAACTCGCTACAGCGGTTCAGAGTATATCTTTTGGGAATTCCTTTTACCATAGTTACAGACTGCAACTCTCTCCGTGCAACTTTTGAGAAAAGAGACACAATACCTAGAGTTGCGCGATGGTGGAATGTTATCCAGGAATTTGATTTTAATATTATTTATAAGCCTGGCACAGCTATGACACACGTAGATGCCCTTAGTCGTAATCCCATCTCTTCACATTCAGTAGAATTACATGTAGGACATGTTGACACTGATTGGGTAGCTACGGTACAACAAAACGATCCCGAATTACAACGAATAATTTCAATCTTAAAGGATACTGAAAACGATAATGTTATAGAGATCAAAAATAATTTTATAATAAAAAGAGGATTATTATATAGGAAAACTGAAGACGGGGATCGTTGGGTTGTCCCGAAAGGAGTCCGATGGCAGGTATTGAAATCAAACCATGACGAGATCGGACACTTTGGTTTTGATAAGACTTTAGAGATAATTAAAAATAAGTACTGGTTTCCTAAAATGAGAAGATTTATAAAAAAGTATGTGCAATCGTGTCTAGAGTGTGCTCATGCTAAAGTACCATCTGGGAAAAGAGCAGGAAAATTGCATCCTATCGAAAAAGTAGATAAACCTTTTCACACTCTACACATAGATCATCTAGGTCCTTTTGTCCGTAGCAAGCGCAGAAATGCTTATTTATTGTTAATTATAGATGCATTTACGAAATTTGTCATACTTGTGCCAGTTAAAAGTACTAAATCTATTCATTCCATCGCCGCAATGAAAAACTATTTTCACACCTTCAGTGTACCGAAAAGATTAATCTCTGATCGCGGAACGTCATTTACGTCTAAGAACTTCCAAGATTATCTAAATTCATTAGGTATAAAGCATATCATGAACGCTGTAGCGACGCCGCGGGCCAACGGCCAAGTCGAGCGGTATAATCGAACAGTTTTAGCAGCACTTACAGCTACAAATCATAGCAAGCCCGATAACTTGTGGGACGAATGTGTATCTGAAATTCAATGGGGACTGAATAATACTCAGAATAAGGGTACGGGAAAGAGCCCCGCACAGGCATTATTTGGTCTGGACTTGGTAGGTACGTCAGGCTCTTTATTGCAACTTAGTGTTACAGATAGTGCTGATAATGTTGATACTCCTATAGAAGACATAAGGAGAGAGATGACAGAGCAAATAAGAGACAATCAAGATAAACAAAAGCAACGGTTTGACAAAATTAGGAAGGAAGTTACATATAATGTAGGTGACCTAGTCAGAATAGAAAGAGAAATTTCATCAACCGGTAACAGTAGAAAATTAATCCCAAAACTTAGAGGTCCGTATCGTATAAAAGAAGTTTTAGATAATGATCGTTATGTTGTTGAAGATACGCCATTATCCAGGAAGGGTAACAGAAATTTTAGTAGCATTTTCTCTGTAGACAAAATTCACCCTTGGATGGTTTTTAATAGAGCAGACACAGAGTCTGAAACTTCAAATAATGATGATGCTGACGAGTTAGAAGTAAGATAAGATGTTAAGGATATGTCTGAGGCCTTAATATTTTAATTAACGTTGTCGAGTATTATAAGTGGCCTGACTGGGAATATGTCTGAGGTCTCAGTTAGGACAGATATTATGGACATGTATGGGGCCTTAATATCTTAGCGTTAGAGTTAACTAACAAGTGGCTTGACTGAGAATAAGTCTGAGGTCTCAGTTAGGACAGATATTGAGGATATGTACGAGGCCTTAATATCTTATCATTGAAATGATTATTCTAGTGAACATCTATCAGTTAAGATTTGTTCGTCATCAATATGATTGGTTATGAATATGATTTTTGTTATATTTTATAAATGTTATAATCTATCACAAATACCGAACCAAATTGTTTTTCCCGGGACGGGAAATTTATCAGGAAAGGCCGACTGTTAGAATCATATCATAATTTACACAAGATTATTGTTTAGTTATTCCATATGTATGATGTTTTAAAATATTCGTCAATTATAAATTCATTATTGTTTAAATTTATTATTATTTTAATTTAATGAGATTACACATAGAAACTTAGAATAATTTAATTAATATTTTCAAATATTGTACTAACGCGCGCACTACTTCCGGCTGACAACTTCCTTTATTTGTTTGTTCCGGTAAAAAGGGTTGGAGGGAGGTAGCGCGCGCGCAGTGGACAGTTGATTGTCGACTGTTGAGTTGAATAGACTAGATTTGTGAAATTTCATCAATATGTAAGTATAATAAATTGATTTAATTGTGGAAAAGTGTTTTAATTACTTGAGCTCTCAAATAATAAAATTGTAACTAAGCCGAATCTGTACATTAAATATTTTTTTGGAAAATCTTATTGAAATAAACATTTTTGTCGATACAGAGGCCGAATCAATAGTTTTTAGAATTTTTGTCTGTCTGTCTATCTGTCTGTTACCGTATCAAAGAAAGACCACTGGAGGGATTTTGATGAAATTTGGTATAGTGATAGCTGGTTATCCGGGTCAACATATAGGATACTTTTTACCGCGGGAAAATGTCTCATTTCTGAAAAAAAATGCAAAAACTGCTATATAAGATTATACCAATATGTAAAACCTAAGAATTTGGTTTTTGTAATATATCATTATTAATCCCATAAATATTATAATTGTAATTTTGATGGATGGATGATTGTTACTCAATCACGCTAGAATGGCTGGACGGATCTGGATGAAATTGTCTGGAATAGCACATTTGTTACTTCTTATCCCGAAAAAATGTACAGTTCCATCGGCATAGACTTGTGTTTGTATTTTACTAGGGACGAATCCGAGTGAAGCGAGCAAGAGTTGCTAGTTACCTATAATATTTAATAGGGCACTCTCGAAAAAAACCGTATTATTTCATATTTTTTTAAGCAATCGCCCAGGGCTGGAATTACACGTTTAACCAATAAAAAATAGCTCATGAAATTTCCGTTAAAATCGCTTAAGCCAAGCTCACTAGGGTAATGCTTGATGCATTGCAGATGCTCAGTATAAAATAGCCAAATTAAAATAATAATACATAATATAAACATAGCACTGTGTTATTGTTATTCGGGTGCTTTTCCAGATCAAATCTTGACAGAGCTTTTCTCCGTTTATTTCAAATGAAGTAGATCTTTGGATTTTACTCAGTCTCAGTATTTTTCTCTATCCCCACAAAGCCAGCACTACTTAAAAAAAATTGACCTTTAAAGCCTTAACAAAAATCAACATCATTATAATTACATATTTAAAAAAAACACAATTTAAATCGTAAAATATTAGCTTTCCTCATGCCATTTCTAATAGCTGATCTATGGCAGATCCGAACCGCCGCACAAATTATAGGCGCCGGTAGAGCGGGAACGTGCTTCCCGGACTCCGGGATCCCGGCTCGTGATCATTGCTGGTATTATTCAACGGATATTGTGTACTGTTATGTCGATAGATATCGATGTTGATCAGCATTTAAAGCGAGCCATTATTTTCGAATCGATTTTCGTGTCGAGTACATTGTGTACCAGATGTATAAAGCAATTGTTGTGCGCGGAAATTGAAGTTGGCGTCTTTGAATCGGATTGTAAATACGCTTTAATGTATGCTTTATTCAGTAATTACTTTTATTTTATTTATATCTACACATATAATAAAATTCTAACTAAGCCGAATCTGTACATAAAATATTTTTTGAAAAATCTTATTGAAATAAACATTATTATCGATACAGGGGCCGAATCTATAGTTTTTAGAATTTTTGTCAGTCTGTCTGTCTGTCTGTTACCGCATCACGGAAAAACCACTAGAGGAATTTTGATGAAATTTGGTATGATGGTAGCTGGTTATCCAGGTTAACATATAGGATACTTTTTACTACGGGAAAATGTTTCATCTCTGAGAAATCAATATTAAATGTTAAAACGTAAGGGGTGAGTTGCTAGTACGACTATAAATCTATGTATGTATATATAAAAATAAAATTCTAGTATCTGTATTTTCAAACTACCTAGTATCTGTATTTTCAAACTACCTAGCTGATTTCATAATTTACTGTAATAAACAATACATTATTATACTCTATTAAAGAAATACTGTTTATACTTGATTTCTGTGCGGCTTAACCAATTTTGGAGAAACTTTTAATATCGAATAGGAAATTACTGTCAAAAAATTATATAAGTAACTTTTGATCCCTGAAAGTGGTTTTTGGTATAGGCCAAGAGTTAATCTTAAATTTTTAAGGATTCTTTGATCACGAGTGCTATAAAACGTCTACTTGTCTAAATCTTATTAAATATTAAATTTTGACCCAATATTTAACAGAATATGTACGTTTTCAAATGTTTTGGCAAAAATTGAATAACATAAGTCATTGAAAATTATGTCTACTATTCATTATATAAAACTATTACTCGCGTCTCTAACATCTGTTCGAATATAAAACCATATATCGATTTGTACAAAAACGACTTAACAAATTGAATCATGTATGATGCAAAGTGTATTTTAAATTATCAGAATATTTTTTACGTTTTAAATAAAACTATCTTTTCGGATTTTTTCGCGGATTTATTTGGATTTTTGATTCCCGACGTTTCGAATGCTTTACAGCAATCATGGTCACGGGAGAGACTAAGGTTATAGACGTTTCAAAGGCGTTACATACTTGTTGCAGACAGTGCCTACCCACAGTTTTACAAAAAATGATTTTTTGAAACCTTTTAAAATAATTAATAAATATATATAAAAAGATAGTTTTATTTAAAATGTTAAATATTCGCGTAAATCTAAGAAAGTATTATTTTTAACGTTTGTTTATTTATAGACTTTGTCAAGATGATTGATTTTGCTTATATTGAAAAAATCGTTTGGCAAACAGACAAAAAAGGTACTGAAATTTTTTTGTTCTCTTCAATCAACCCTCAGTAAAATCTCAACATCTTTAAATACACGTTCGTATAAAGGTCTAAAAGATTAACAAGTAAGGCATTTTCGTCACAGTGCTATGTCTCAATCAGAGTAATCGGGACAATAAATACTCGTCCCGGGAAACCATTTGGGATGAGAATGATTGCGAATATATAACACAACGTGCCCTGAGTATGTCTGTACGTTGACAGTCATTAAGCTGAGTTAAAGACTTAACTTCAATAAAGAATCTGAAGTACTTTAAATTAATGTTGTTGAAATGTACCTATATAATATAAATGCAAAAGTTTTGTATGTGTGTTTGTTACTTGTTCGCAAGACTGGACATATTATAATGAAATTTAGTGCATAGATATATCAGAAGTAGCTCCTAGGCTACTGTTAAATACCTTATATAAAAAATTATTATAATAAAGCATTTTTCTTACGTAAAAAGTATTTGAGGAAACTAAATATAAAAGCCAATATCTATACTAATATTATAAAGAGGTAAAGTTTGTGAGTATTTGACGTTGGAGGGGGCAATCTCTGGATCTACAGAACCGATTTAGATAAAATTTGGTAAGAAGATAGTTTGAGACCCTACGATAGACATAGGATACTTTTTATCCCGGAAATCATCCCTTGAGGGGGTGAAAATGAGGATGAAAGTTTGTATGGTGAATCAACCTAGGGACGAATCCGAGCGAAGCGAGTGTGAGTCGCTAGTATATATATATAAGATGACTAGCGACTCACTCACGCTTCGCTCGGGTTCGTCCTAGGTACTTTTTGACGGTTAGTGATACAAAATAAACAGTTGTATTTTTTTATACTTAAACCACTCCTACATACCCCCACAAAAAAGGATAATTCAAATCGATCCAGCCGTTTTTGAGTTTTAGCAACACAAACGAACAGCAGTTGATTTTGATACATATATAGATAGACTAGAAAAATAGTTATTTGGCTTGCAAAAGTCTTACTGTGCGTCAAAATTCAGCCACATATAGTGTCTTTTCACTTTGAGTTGACTGTATAAATAATGAATTGACGTTATATAAAGTAGATATGAAACGCCGTATAACAGACTGTGACTAAGTAATTTTTATTTTAACTAACAATCCTTACATTCTTACTCTTTTATAGGATAGACAGAACATGTAGAAGATAATGATTGAAGCCTGAGAACTAGCTGGGTTCTCCCCAGCAGATTTCTCACGATGTTTTCCTTCACAAGACAAATGGTAATCATGTTGGAAATGACTTGCACATGAAAATATCAAAGGTGCGAGACACGAGATTCGAACCCGCTTCACTCGGTTTCTAAAACGAGCGCCTTACCACTACGCTACCACTGCCTACTGTACAATACGATCATTAATATGCAAATATAACTCTAAATAATGCAAGGGAGGTCACGATTAAAAGCTAGTTATAACCATCGATTGCATCTGTTAGTGCACTCAAATGAAGTTGCATATAAACATTTATGGTACAAAAGCTGTAGAACCCACTGGGATAATGGTAGAGACTCTTAGTACCAAACTACGAAACCTCTATTGCCTATTATTTAGGATAGCTTTCGCTATTTCAAATTAA